CAAGTGTTGTACGTTTTCCTTAATATGCGGAATCCAAAAAATATATGACACGAAAGTAAAAGGAGATAATTATTAGACAAGAGGAGGGGTTGAGGGGAGGGCGAGGGTGTAAAAGTGGGTAATGGGGAAAGGATATGATCAAAATGAGCTATAGGTGCGTATGAAACTCAACATTCTATAAAATTAATAATCAGTACTAAAACATAATTTAAAAAGGGAGAAGGGTGCTTTTTCCAAATAAGGTAATATTTTCAGATTCTGCAGTAAAGTGTGGACACACAGGATTTGGGGTCAGTGCAGATGAGGTGAGCAGGGGAGTCTTCTGAGGGTGTGTTTTGGGGTACACTGTCCCAGAGGCCGACTCTAAGGCAAGAGTGTGTGGGGCTTGCAGGCAGCATGGGCAGGGATGGGGCCGAGAGGCAGAGAAGAGAAGCATCTGGGGGACCGGGACATGAGCTGCAGAGGTCCCCATATGCTGAGGACCAGGGGGTTGGGTATGAAGGTCAGTGATGGAGAAGCTTCTGGGGACTTTACTACCCTGGCCCTTTCAGCACTATTGCCAGGCCTGGTGGCCTTCAGGTGACAGAAAAAAATCCCCATGCAGAGCTGAAAGTGTTTGCAGAGGAGGATGGTGACTGCCCTGAGGCCTTGGCAGGCCTTTGACTATGGCTGCTCCAGGAAGGGACTTCTGAGATGCCACCTGAAGTCTATGAAAGGGCTGGCCGGCCGTGTGATGAGCCAAGTCCCTAGAGCAGGAACGACAGCCATCAAGGCAGCAGGGCTGGGGCTGATAGTGGAGGAAGTCTGTGGATCTCATCTGAAAAGCTGGGATTCCATTCTGTAGGCGATGCCATCCTTGAGAGAGGTGGTGGATGGCTGTACCTACTTTTTTGTTTTTGCTTTCTGAGACAAGGCCTTATTTCATAGTCTAGACTGGACTTAGACTCACTGCATAGCCCCAGTGGCTTGTGATCCTCCTGCCTCAGCTTTCCAAGTGCTAGGATGACAGTGTATACTACTACACATGGCAGCAGTCACTGACCGTGCGCAGCCTGGAAGATGTTTGCAGAGCAGAGAGAGGAAGGTCTGCCTCATCCAGTTGGAAATTCTTAGTCCCTTTCCTTCTCCGGGCCACAGCTTCCTGCCTGGAAATTGAGGCTAATGAACCCTGGTATGCTTGTTGGAAGTCCCCAGAACACTGCTGGGAGGGGTCTCCTGGCTGTGGGGGAGGCAAAGGGAGGGGTCTCACCAGCCTCTCAGGCAGAAACTGCCAGGCAGGAGCCAGTCAAGTCCAGGGCCGGGCCTCTCTCCACATCTCTGCTGTGTGGCTGGGTTTTTCCAAAAGTTAACCAGGCCATCATAATGAATTATGAGCTCCATGTCTTGGAGGTGGATCTGAGCAATACAAATTGAGTCTTAAGGTCCTTGACACCCTGAGGGTAACCGTCTATCTGTTCAGGGCTCAGGAGTTGTGGCCGGTGATTTTCCGTAACTGGCAACGTGGCACCGCCCCAGCCTTCATGTTGAAAGTGAGGAAAGTTGGATTCTTCTGTGTGGGGGTGTGTGGGGGGTGTACAGAGGCTTGAACCACGGCGTTCAAGTTGAACTACATCTCTAGCCCTCTCTTTATTTTATTTTGAGACGGGGCCTTGCTAAGTCACTACATGATCCAGACTGGACTCAAACTTGTGATCTTCCTGCCTTAGCTCTTAGGGTGCTGGGATTACAGGTGTCCACCAGCACATTCAGAGAAAGCTGGATTCTGTGAGAGAGAGAGAGAGAGAGAGAGAGAGAGAGAGAGAGAGAGAGAAACCATGAGTTGTGGAGGCTTGGATTCCCCAGATGGAACCCAAGCCAAGTATGGTCACATTTTGGTTAATGTCTCAACTCTCCACAGACCACAAGCTTCTCCACTTGGGTGCCAGGAAGTCTGGCCCTGCTCCTGAATCTCCTCCCCAAGGATGCCCCAAAATCCCAAGGGTCACTCCAGGGACCCAGTGACACTGGACACTTGTTTATCAAGGGGCTCCCATCTGTCAGACTCTGTACTAGGTGTTCTGTGAGAAGGACTATTATCATTCTTATTTCAGGGGTAAGGAGGTGGAACCCTGGAAACGTGAATTCACCTTGTGGAAGACCCTGATAAAGAGACCCTGGGATCCTATTTTAATTCATTCTCTATTAGAATAGGATTGTATAGCCAAAATACGGAATCAACCAAGGTGTCCATTGATGAATGAATGGGTGAAGAAAATGTAGTGTAAAAATCTCTGCCAGCTACTTATCGGATAAAGCATTAATATCTGAAATATATAAAGTACTAAAAAAAGTTGGCAAGCGTGAGGTCCTGAGTTTGATTCCCAGTGGAAAAAAAGAAAAAAGGAAGAGAGAAAGAAAACTAATCACCTCAAACAAATAGCTCAATCAAAAAAGGGCCAAAGAACTAAGAGTGCCTCTCCAATGAAGTACAAATGGCCAGTAAATATATGAAAACAATAGCCAACATTTTTAGCCTAATATTAGGGACATTTACATCAAGAGCACTTTGAGATTCCATTTTTACCCTAGTCAGAATGGCTGCCATCAAGAATTAAAAAATCAAAAACAAAAAAACCCAAACATCAACAACAACAAAACAAACTACAAATGCTAGTAAGGGTAATAAGGAGCCCTCTTACATTGTTGGTGGGAGTTTAATTAGTACACCACTCTGGAAATCAGTGTGAAAATTCCTTAAAAAACTAAACAGTGCTATTTGATCCAACTATACCACTCATGGGTGTGTTCCTGAAAGAGTTAAGGACAGTGTGCTCAATTCTAACTGCATGCTCATGTTTATAGTGATGCAATCACAGCTGCTGAGCTATGCAAACAGCCTAGCTGCCCATTAGCAGGTGAATGGATAAGAAAATGACCAGATATGCAACGACATAGTATTCAGCCATAGAGAATGCAGTTATGTCATTTGCAAGGAACATGGGTTGACCTGGAAACCACCATGTTAAACAAAATAAGCCAGATTCAGAAAGTTAAATATTGCATGTTGTCTCTCCTGTGAGAAACCTAAAATATAAACAAGCAAACAAATAAGTAACATTAACAATGACAGGAAACCAGAAGGTATCCCCCTTGGAAATAAATGGTACAGGAGGTTGAGGGAGGTAAAAGCACTAAAAATGAACAAAATATGTTATATGCATGTACCAACCCCACCAAATAAGCATTTTTATCACTATTCTGTATTACTAATGTGCAATAATAAAATATCACATTCTACACATATAACATATATGTGTAATAGTGGTGTATATACACAATGGAGTTTTACTCAGCTGTAGAAAGAATTTGCAGCAGCATGGATAGAACCACAGGACACTCATTAAGTAAAATAAGCCAGGCACAGAAAGACAGTCCCTCATGATCTCATTCATACGTGGAGGCTAAACAAGCTGATCGCATAGAGGCAGGGAGAACAATAGTGGTCACAAGAGGCTGGGAAGGGTCACAGAGAAGAGGGACAGAAGGAGACTGATGTGGCTACCAAAATATAGTTAGGCAAGAAGAATACGTTCTGGTGTGACTTAATAAACTGCTCACCACAATTTATTCTATATTTCATAATAGCTAGAAAAGAAAAGGTTGAAGGTCCCTAACATACAAAGAAGATGAATGTTTAAGGAAATATAAATGGCAGTCATTTCTGACTTGATCAATGCATATTAAATACCTGCACTGAATTATCACATTGTACTTCATAAATGTGTATAATTATTGTGTCAATTAAAAATTAACTTTAAAATAATATTGTAGTTCAATACCTGGTTAGACTATATTTCCCAGTATCCCCTGCCTTTAGAAGTGATCATGTGGCTAGGTCCTCTCCAGTGGCACTTGGGCCTCTCCGGGGTCCTCTAAGAAAGCAGAGCTACCTCCTCAGTACTCTCTTTTTCCACTTTCTGGACATAGAAAAGAGCAGGCCCCAGATACAGTGGAGCCACAAGATAGAAAGAGCTGGAATTCTTCCAAGTGAAGCGTAATTGTCCTAGAAAACTGAATGCATACCCAGAGATACATTTCTTTTGTTAGGAAATGCAATCTGGTGGTGGCACACATCTGTAATCCCAGCATGCTGGGGGGCTAAGGCAGAAAGATCTAAAGTTCCAGTTCTGGAGAATTTAGCAAGACCCTATCTTTAAAAAAAATTAGGGGATGTGTCTTGGTGCAAAGGCCTTGAGTTCAATCTCCTGTACAGAAGAAGGGGGTGGGGATGGGGAATGTAAAGTCTACTTGTTCCAGCATCTTAGACAAGCTAATTCACAATGCTCGAAGCTGGCTGACCCCGGTCTGTCAGACTGGAAGTCTCAGCTCTTGATTACTGGGGTGCAACATAGTGATGACCTCAGCACATCCAGCTTTGGCCCACACATCTGCTGGCCTCAGCCACTGTACACTGCTGGTATGTTTAGAGTCAAAGGTTCAGAACAGCTGCTGTGGCTGGAGTGGCATGGCCAAGACACCCCACCACTGCCCCATCTATGGAGCTGGGCAGGGCACAGATGTCCCAGACCTTGTTGCTAGCCAGGAGTCAGGCTGGGACCTCTTGCTTTTATGCACACTGCATGCGGCATTTAAATGCCAAGGTGGTTAGAGCAGGAATGAATGTGGGCTCCCAGCACACAGTGCCTGAGCCTTCTTTTGTCCCTGGCCTCAAAGTATGCACTGAGTCTCACTTACTACCCTAAACCCTATTCCCCCCATTAGCCTCACTGCACACAAATGCCCCTTCATAGATTGTGCTTGAATGTCTCTGAGCGCCAAAAAGGAGGGACAAGTATCTGAGTTAGGGGTCTTATTTCTTCCCAGAGCCCCCCAAACTGTAATGAGTTGAGGCTAACAGGTATGAGGGCTTTGCCCACCTCTACCTATCAACAGTTCTTGATTGGATTATGAGGGTGTCTTCGTGGGTTTCTTGTTACTATAACAAAATACCAGAGGCTAAGTAGTTTATAAACAACAGAAGTTTATTTGGCTCCTAACCTTCTAAATAAACAACAGAAATTTATTTGAAATCCTAAGCTCCAGTTCCTTAAGATTTGGCTCCTGTTTCTAGAGGCTAGGAAGTTCAAAAGCAAGGCTTTAGCATCTTGTGAGAAAAACTGTCTGCAGATTTCCTGCTGTGTCATAATAGGGCAGACAGCATCACACAGTGAGACAGTGCAAGCCTGCTCTTGTGGGTCTCTCTTCCACTTCTTAGGATCACATCTAGTCCTACTTATCTTCCAAAGACCTTGCCTGCAATTACCATGAAAGATGATTAAATGTCCAATGCATGGACTTTTGAGGGTACACATTCAAACCACAGCAGAGGGTATCACTGATCTTCTTTCCAGGAGCTCCATTCCCAATCTGGGTAGCTGGAATAGGGAGGGAAAAAAGCACTGAGAGGCCAGTGACTCAATTAGGGTCATCGCGGTCAATGCAAGCCAAGCAGGTTGGTGGTGAAGGGCAGAGCCCATCTTCAGTGGTCTATGGTGGCTCTGCAGCAGTGCCCACGGCCTTGGGTGCCTTTACCTTCTCCATACACAACAGATCCCGGTGAGCTTTCATCCGCTAGCCACTTTACAGAAGACCAACATTGGAAGCGACTCCAACCGCCTGGGAATTCTTGTTCCTGCTGGGCATGGCCCTTAACCAGTGACCAATGGTGCAGAGTATAAACACTCCAACTTCCTCCTCCAGCAGAGACTCCGAGGTGTGTCTTGAGCCCCATGTGGAGAGAGCCACAGTCCCCTGATTTGGGCTAAATTGTGCCCTCCCAGCCCCCAAGTTTATGTTGAAACCTTAAGCCCTAGTCCCTTAAGATGGGACCCTGGTGGAGAGTCACTGGGTCATCATAGATGTGGATCAGTTAAAGTGAAGCCATACTGGAGTAGGGCAAGTATCCTGGTACAAAGGTGACAGACAGCACCCCGAGGGTGACGCCAAGCAAATGCGGATGTTATGCTGCCACAAGCCTGGGGACTATAGCAGCTAAGAGAGTGGCCGAGGGCAAGTGCAGAGGGAGCCAGGGCCTGCCAACCCCCTGCTTCCAGCCTTTGGCACCGAGAGATGGTAAATTTCTGTTTTGTAAGCCACTCAGTTTGTGGAACGTCCTTATAGTAGTTCCGTGACACAAATGTGGTGGGACTTTGCTTGATATCATGTCCCTGGGCAGACGTGCTCCTGGGGGCCCCGTCCTCCCTCCCCATGGGAGCTGCTTAATACCCAACCTTGTCTCAGGCACCAGTTTGCCCCTGGTGTATTCCACCTAATACAGTGGGCTTTCAGGACCAGTGGCAAGCTCTCCAGGACTGGAGAATCTAATGAGCAACCCGGGAGCTCATGTGTGTGAGTCTCATCTGCAGCCTTGCCAACAGGGGAGAGTCACTGCCCAGCTCTGGCCACCAGGGAGGCAGGTTCACCGTCTAGTCCTCCGGAGAAAATACAGATGTGGAGTTCAAAACCCGTGACACCTGACCTATAAACGCTGGAAATGAACTCCGTTTTTCTGCTGCTGTTTGTTTAAATTTTGAAGCACGTCTGGAGACCAGATATGACCTTTGGGCTGGCTCTTGGGCCCAGTCACTTTTGGCATCCTGACTTATGTGACAGAAGAGCTATGAGCAGGTGGCAGGACACTTGGATCTGCTGGACTCTCCTTAGTGCCGCCTGCCTGCTTAGAAACCTCTCTAAGCCCCAGTGTCTTTGTCTGTCAAATAAGTAGTGTGGCATGTCTCTCGCCTACCTCCCAGGCTGGCAACAAAGACTGATGCAATGTAGTTAGCAAACATATAATCTGAGCAATCTCATTCTGTGCCTGTGAGGCAAGCTGAGGTGAGGGATTGCAAGTTTGAGGCCAGCATGGGCAACTTAGTGATTTAGCAATTCTGTCTCAAAAGAAAGGGAGAGAGAGACAGAGACAGATGAAAGTCACCACCAACAACAACGTTGTTTCATCCAATAGCCCCAGAAGTTCCTCGTCTCACAGGCAAGCACTGAGGAGCAGAGATACTTTTACAACTTGTTCAAGATCTCCCAACTGGCAAAAGGCAGACTTAACTTCACACCCAAGAAGGTTAAGTAAGTGGGGCTTGTTTTGTTTTTGTTTTTGCTAAACAGGGAAGGGCATGGGTACATAGCCAGGACTGGGCTGGATCCCTGCCCAGCTTTACACGGGGAGGGGCTGAGCTGAATTTACTGAGTGACGCCAGCAGCTGCCTTGCCGTTTCTGGACATCTGGACGGGAGCCAGGCTGGGCCATTTCTCCTCAATGGTGCATTTCCCGTAAATGATGACTCCTAACTGCTGGCTCGTAGATCTGTGCCAAATACCGCCAGGCTACTCCTCCCAAGGTTAGCACTGCCCTGTGCCCGTTGGCCTGGGCAGATCCTGGCACATATCCTGGGGTGGTTCATCTCCTCAGCCGCCCACTCCTCACACACTTGTCCAGCATGCACAGTGTGCCTGTAGCATGCTTGGGGAGCAGAAAAAGTACTTGCTTTTTGAGTGATCATTCTCTAAGGGAGGCATGGGGAGGAGAAAGATCACCCAATCGATTAGAAAGAAAGATAATCAGAGGTCATAGAGTGTACTAGAAAGGAAACAGCCATATCAGGGCTTAGTCTAGAACCCAGAACCTACAGCGAGACTGAGTGTTTAGGTGGGACATGAGGTGAGGGCTAAGGAAAATCCCTGAGAGAGGACCTTATATTTTTAGCCCTGAGAGAATTAAGAGAAGAAGGGCATGCTGGCAGGGAGGTAGCACATGCAAAGGCCCTGAGGTTGGAAGAGCATTGGAGGTTTCTGCAAATCTCAGCCTGGCCAGTGTTGCCAGAACATGATGAGAGTCATGAGGCAGAAAAAATTATGGGGTTCCCACTAGGCAGGGCTTGTGGGGCATGGTGATATCACCTTTCCAGTGGGGAAAACCCAACCTGGACTTCCAGGTGCTGAGGACAGGTCAGTCTTAGATTGTTTCCAGCATAGGATCAGTGGAGGCACCTACCAAATCCTTTAGGAGGAGGCCAGAGGTCCCAGAAGCATCCTGCCATTGTGTGCTGCCACTGCCCACTCCCCCAGCCACCTGCAGAGAAGGTGCTGTTGACCTGACTTTTCTGCTCCTTGTCCCAGCCCTTGAGCACAAGAGGCCATTAAGGGCCTGTTTACCAACTCCTCCACAGCCCTGGTGAGAGAGAGGGTGGCTGCTCAGGAGGTCAGGCGGCTGCATCAAAGCTTAGCTGTCCTCTAGGTCCCCAGTCTGGAATTTCCCCTCGGGTGAGTGTCCTGCCAACCTACAGAACCCAACTTAGAGGGACTGGAGCAGGGAGCAGGCTTCCTGCACACATGGGGCCTCAAAGGCTGACCACAGTGCACCTGGCAGCAAGGAAAGGCCACAGGGAGAGGACAGCTCATGACAGCCACAGTGACAGCACTGTCAGTACTCACTTAGCACCTGCAGGGATCCAGCCTTAACCCTCAGTCCACCTGCAAGGGAGAGGCGTTGGACCTTTCAGGTGGTGGAACAGCCTAGGCAGACAAGTGGCTTGCAGATCACACTGGGTTCAAGTCACAAGGCAGTGCTTCATCCTGGAGGGCAGAAGACAAGTGGCCTGAAGGGTTAAGTAGCAAGCTGGGGGCGGGGCAGGCCTTGATCAGACCTGGGACTGGAAAAGGGCGGAGCTGCACCCACCATCCTCCAGGCAGACTGAGGTGGTGGTTGTGGGCCGGTCTTCTCAGGTAGCGGTTGACCTCATATCTTGAGCTCCACATTTTATGGACAGCACTCCCTAAGATCTTCCTGCCCACTGGGCACCGGCCATGCCTCTGCCATTCCTCCCCAGCTGGTGGCCATCTTAGGAAAAAAAACCAAGAGAGTCCAACTGCACCTTGTTGCACAGGGTCCTAACCTCACTGAGCTGACATTTCAACTAAGTGGGAGGAAGAATGGCCAGCTGCGAAGGAAAAATAAAAGCACTAAGAGATGTAAAAGGTCTCTCAGGAGTTCAAAGCAGAAAAAGGTAAGTTGTAGAGACAGCAGTCAGGTGCATGGTAGGGAAAGGGTCATAAAGGGCTCCTCTGAGCCTCCAAATTTTCAGCCCTGTGGAAAATCAATGTGTGGTGGTGGAGGGGCACCCATGTGGAGGAAGTAGCATATGCAAAGGTCCTGAGAAAAGCAAGGACTGGGTACATTCTGAGAATGGGCGCATTTGTCTATTGTGTTCTGAGGAACATCAAGAGCCAGCTGCAGAGGGAGGCCAGTCCCACCACACAGTCGTACGGGTGCTGGACAGGACCTGGAGCCCATTCACAGGAAGGGCGAGGGTGGCAACCAGCTGACTACAGACAGATCCAGTTTCTCCCTCTCACCTGCACTCAGGCCCAGCACAGCTCTGGCTGCAGAGCTGAGACAGCCCTGCTTGATTGTGCTTAGTGGGAAGTGAAGACAGCCAGTGGGAAAGGTCTTGTTCACTGGGGACGGCCTGGTCCCTGCACCAACTTCACCACACAGTCAGTAAACAGTGCAGGTAAGACCCAGCCTTCCTGTTTACCTGCTGTCCCTGTCAAGGCCCTGAAGTTGCAGCAATGGCCTATGCCAAGTCACCTGTCATCTCACCAGCTGCTGCAGGGGTGGGGCGAGGTGCCATCTTCAGAATGCCAGGCAGTGACATCTGCTTCACACAGGTTTCCACCTCAAGGATGTCACTGGAGAACACAGATCAAGGGGAGGGTGCAAAGGACAAGGGCCCTGGGTCGTTCCATGAACAAGGCGTGAGGAAAGCCAGAGGACAGGAAACACCTGGTTTAGGAATGTAGCAGTGCAACAGTCCCATGTAACGTGTGGCTCCGACCGGGATGCGAGCTAAGCAAGCACTGGGAATGAATCTGCTGACGCGGAGTCAGGATGAAGTCTGATGAGGTACTGGGTAAACTCTCACATGCTAAGACCTACTGGTTGGGTTTTTTTAGGTGTGATGGTAAGGAGGCTTTTAGGAATTAACATATGAAGCCTGTAATGGCAGCACTATGGGAGACAGGGGCAGGAAAATCATAAATTCAAGCTCAGCCTGGGCAACTTAGGGATTTTGTGAGATCCTGTCTCAAAACAAAAAATAAAAATGAGCTGGAGGTGTAGTTCAGTGAGAAGGCCTTGAGTTTAACCCCTAATACTGAAGAAAAACTTCTAGTTGGGCTGGGGATTTAGCGCAGCGGCATAAGCGCCTGCCTTGTAAGTGTGCAGTCATAAGTTTGATCCCTGGTACCAAAAAAAACCCCAAAAAACTTTTAATTCATATCTCAAAATATACAGTTCTGCGGTAAAGACAGATATCCCGCAGTGGAATGGTAGGTTGGACATGAAGCTGATGTTCCGTGTGCAGGCCTACAGGGTTTCCCTGGCCCCTCTGCTGATGGCCGTAAGTCGTGGTCACCAGCACCACTGTTTCCAAAGGCCCTCCTCTGAGGAAGTTGTTACAGATGTGTTTTCTCTAGTTCTTGCCTCCTCCCTATCAGGGAGTATGGTCCCACTTTATGGATATGTAGACTGAGGGCAGAGAGAGGATGTCCATTGTCCAAAGCTTCTTGTCACCTTTTCAGTCAGGCCTGCTGATGCTAGATATTACTCCCCATCCATAGCCCAGTGGCTACCTAACTCTGGAGCCCCCTCCTCAGGGCTGTTGTGGGTCTGAGATTAGAAGCACAGCAACAGGAATCAGACATGACACAGTGCCTTGAAGTTTGGCTCCCCAGACCTCAGGGGCCAAGAGCAGCCAGATGGGTGGGAGAAGTCTCTGCCCCCACATTCCTCAGGGCCCTCCTGAAAAGCAGATTCCCCATCTCACCATCTGCCTTGTAAGAGGTGACACTATCGCAGCCAGCTCCAGATCAGGGGTGAGTTCCCAGCACAACCCGGGGAACTCCTATCCCACCCTCACATTCTCTGTATCCTCAGCTCTCTGTGACCCCATATTTCTAGGGACCTCCAGATGGTGGGTGCTGTGGTTGTTCCTGAGGATCCCCACACTGAGGGCTGAGAGTGTCAGCTGGCCCCATATGGGGCTTCCAAGGGGAGTTTCCCACCTTCTCACCCCAACCCAACGACGCCAGCAGCTGGTGACTTTCAGGGCCAGACGAAAAGCCCCTAAATATTTTCTAACAGCTTCTCACCTCCACCTGCCTTGCTCTGTGACACCCCCACTTCCCACCCCCACCCCACTCCCACCCCTCTTGGCCCCAGCAGGTGAGTCAAGAAACCTGCCTTTCCGTCTGTCCAGCACTTTTGCACCTAGAGTTACTTTTGGGCCAAAAGCCAAGGCTCCTTTTAGAAAACAGGCCTTGGTGGGCCTGGATCCTAACAACTCAAGGGGCCATTCCCCAGACTGGCAGCCTCAGCCCCTGCTGGGAGCTGTTCAAAACAGACTCAGCTGGAAATAGGGGCACAAGCCTGTAACTCCAGCGTTCCGTTCCGGGCGGATGAGTAGAGGGAAGACAGGCTGGACAGTTTAGTCAATTTAGTGACTTAGACCCTGTCTCCAACTCAAAACAATAAAAAAGACTGGAGATGTAGTTCAGTGTGAAGAAACAAAAGGGGCTGGGGATTTAGCTCAGCGGCATAAGCACCTGCCTTGCAAGCAGGCGATCATGAGTTCGATCCCCGGTACCGATAAAAATGAAAAAGACAAACAAACAAACAAACAAAAGGAACAGCAGACTCTCAGCTCCACACAGAGGCCTAGAATCTGCGTTCTCGTCTAAGCCCAGGCCACTAATTTCAGATGAAGAGTATGTGGGGGGTACACAGTTTAAAGCCCGAGTTCTTCTGGCTGCCCGACACCTGCCCCCTAGAACTGCCATGCTATATTCCCACAGAACCCACGGTGCCACTGGAACTTGGAAGCTATGGGGGCTGCCGTACAATTTGGGAAATACTTTTACCAGGACATGGCTCCTGAGGACGGCCATCTGTCCCCAGGAGGGAACTCTCTTCCTTCACAAACACTAATGAAAGGGAAAGACAATGTTCAAATGGAAAGAACTGGGATTGCGGAAGGAGAAGGGAAAAGATGAAATGTATACAGGTACACATATGTAGGTCTGTACGTGTACACACACAAGATAGCTATACTATTAATCTCTGTTAGTTCATACAAAAGAACAGTTTGTGCTTTCATTATCTGACTGTCAGATCATTTTTTTCGTGCCTAAATCTTGTAACAACTACTAAATCCTGAACAACTACTTCTAAGATAACAATATGCAATATATTAATTGGTGTTAATTTCCTATTTTTTTTTAAATTCTGTATCGTTTCTATCCTTTTTATTGTTTTGCTTAAAAAATAAAAATACACCTGGCAGGCTCTTCCAGGGTCAGTTCAGGAATGGGGTGGCCTTTGGGGGCCACCAAGAGTGGGGAACAGATACTGTCTGGGAGACAGAAGGACAAAGAGAGGACTAGTGGCCTTGGCATCTTACTACCTACTGCCCTGTGCCTCTCTGGCAAGGGTTAGGAGAGGAGTGCGGGCAGAGGAGAGGGAGTGCCTGTGTGCTGGGCCGGAAAGATCCTGGAAGGATACATACTTTCTGGACGTTCCAGAGAAGGCCTTCATGGATTAATAGCTATTTTCTTGCCTGGTACCTGATGCACACTGATCTTACTGCAGTTCCCAGCCAATCCCAGTCCCTTAGGATGCCCACGCAGGCCTGGGCATCTGCTTTTCATTAGGGTCCCGGCAGACCTGCTCTTCCTCTGCCCTGACTGGGGAGGCCAGACAGGAACAGCGATTCACTCCCTATTCTCGTGATCATCCCACATTTCTGGAACACCCACAGCGTCGCCGGACCCACTTTTCCTCCCAAGATCACTGTCCTCGGCTCCTGGCCGCCACAGCAGCAGGCCTGCGCCGTGCCAGGCGCGCTCCCCGAGACCCTCCCGCCCCGCCCGCCCGCCCGCGGCGCGCCCCCTCCCCAGCCGCGACTGCGCCCTAGGCGCGCGCCCGCCCCGCCCGCATCTGCGTGAGGCCAACCGCGGGGCGCAGGCTCCAACCCCGCAGCAAGCGCGAGTCCTTAGCCCGGAAGATGAAGCAGGTAGGATTGTGCGGATGCTCTGGCTCTGGCGGGGAAGGAGACTGGAGCTGGAGAAGACGAGAGGGGCGCTGGAGAGGAGGCGAGGAGGAGGGATTCGCCAAGGCCAGGAACAGGATGCGGATGCGGGGGGCGCTGGCAAGAGGGTGGAGAAGGCCTTGATCCCGGAGAGGCCGCTGGGGAACCCAAGGAGGCCTGCAGGGACAGGTGCAGGCAGGGTCGGGTGTGCAGGGTGGCAGCGGGCCTACCATCCGCCCCTGTGTCCCTCCAGGCCCTGGTGGATGACACGGAGGATGTGTCCCTGGACTTTGGCAATGAAGAGGAGCTGGCCTTCAGGAAAGCCAAGATCAGGTATGTCGGGACCCTGGTTTGGGCAAGCAGGCACTAAGATTGCAAGTTCATTCATTTATTCGCTCATTTTTCAAGATGTACAGAGCACCTATTGTATGTCTATAGATCAGGCAGCCCCGCCCTGCTCGAGCCTGCATCTGAAGGCGCAGGGTGGGGCAAACACTACCCTGGCAAAGATCTTAACAAGCTAATCGTGGGGTATGAGTTAGGAACAAAATCTACAGGGTGGTGGAAGAGAAAGGCCTCTGAGGAGGTGACCTTTGAACTGAAACCTCAATGGTGAGCCATGAAAGAGACTCCAGAAGAGGGTTCCAAGCAGTGGAACAGCATGTGCAAAGGCTTTGAGGCTCTTTTGGAAGGTCAGAGAAAGGCCACTGCACCACAGGGCAGTGTGGGAGGAGGTGGGGATTGACAGAAGGCTGGACAATTTTTGTTCTAGACTCTGTTCAGCCATATTGTTCTAGGTCAGGTCACATGCCTGCCTGTGACCTTCTGCAACCCAGGAGGCAGTAAGACCAAGAAAACTGAGCTTTGGTGTAGCTTAGTGGTAGCCCAGAATCCACAAGGCCCTGGGTTCAGTCCCCAGAGTGGTAAACAATAACCAAAAAGGAATGACCTATCAGAGACTCTTTTGATGGTGGCAGTTATCAGGGAGCCCTGCAGTCAGGCTCTAGTCTACTGCCAAGTGTTACAGTGCACGTGAGAATAAAGAGCAAGATAAAAAATAGCAGTGGATGTTGCTAACGACTCCGCGTCCTGTCTCTCCCTGGGTCAGAGGGCGCTTGTGGCCGACTCTCCTAGGTTTTGGACTGCCTAACGTGAGTGTAAGCTGGACTGCACAATTCTGCTTTCTCTATGAAGTGTGATGTCTCTTTTTTGTTGTCTGAGAAAAATAGGCCATTTAGGGAGAAAATGACTTTTCTAAGTCTGTGTGTTAGCTAAGGACAAGTCTGTGTGTTAGTTAAGATACTACAAAAACTAAGCAAATGAGTTTATGTGCACATTGCCACGTAACGGAAGAACCTGAATACCAGCAGGTGAGGTGGAGCTGGGATGGACTTTTCCTCAAGCATCAGACATAAAAATGCACATTTTTCTCCTGCAGAAGTGTTAGCAAATAATAGCACTCTTTCTCTTCTCCACTGCCTCCAGCTATGGGCGAAGCACCTAGGAACTCCGTGCATTAAATGAAATGCAGACATTGGGAAAAAAAAAATAGCAGTGGAGCAGGGATCTGGGATGACCAGTGTTTCATGGGGGAACAAAAGGCCACAAAGCAGCAGAACCTTGATGTTTATTAGTTACATCTTTGTCAAGGACAGTGGGTGAAGGGCGGAGAGTGTTCACAGGAATGGTAATGGTGGTTGCTGTGGGTATTCTTGGAAGGGTGAGACAGGGGGGGCGGTGAGGAAACTGTAGCTTCCCCAGGTGCCGTATCATCCTCAGCAGGTCACGGCAGCAACCAGTAGTGCTAGGATTTCCAGCTATGATCAGAGGAGCGCAGGGAGCTTCCATGGTTCCATCTGGCTCGAGGACAGGAAAAGGACGATTGTGGACATCTTTGAGACTCAATTTATAATTTTTAGTCCCCATCAATGACTCTGTGACCTGTGAACATGGCTGCCCATGGCCCAAGCACTCACACAACCTAGAAACTTCCACGACCCAGCTGCCCTCGATCACCTGGTTTTGCCCTTCTCTCCTTCCAATGGTCAGGATGGCAGGATGGAGAGAGACTGCAGGGTCAGATGGAAGCAGAGAGCATGGGCTGGGAGGCCAGGCAGGGTTCTGGGAGGGCGACAGGGACAGGGGCCCACAGGTACCTTGGAGGTCTTAGTGGTGTCAAGATGTGGGCTGGGGACAGAGGTAGTCAGAAGTGATGCTCTGGCTCTGGTTGGTGACTGAGGAGATGGAGGGACACTTATGAGTCTAAGATATAAAATGTGGTTAAAATAGACAGTGAATGTTTAAAGTTTTAAAAATGTATTACAATAAAAGACACTCTGCCAGCCTGGCCTTGCCATGGGATGACTCCACGATTTATTTTGTAAATGTTTATATACCATCTTCTGGGAGCCAGGTGCGGGGCTGAACTCTTGAGGATGGAGATGTGGTCCCTTCCCTCTGAATTCCTGGTTCCAGGGCAGGGAGATAGTGTGATGATGAGAGCTCCTTGGGGACCAGCAGAGGTGCTGGGCAGGTCGAGAAAATACAAGCTTTGCTGTGAGTGTGTTTGTGGGGGGGACTTTTCTTTTTGTTTTGACCTTTTCATTGTGGTAAAAGGAAACATAACATAAAGAGTACCATCTTTATTTTTAGTAATACTCTTCAGTTATTTGAGGTATATTTTCGTATGAAACAAGTGAAATAGAATTTTTTCATTTTGCAAAACCGAAACTCTGTACCCATCAAACAACTCTCTTTTCCCTGGTAACCACCATTCTGCTTTCTGTCTCTATGAAGCTGACTACTCACTTCACCAAAGTGGATTCATACAGTGTTCGTCCCTTTGTGATCATCCCACTTGGTCTATGTCCTCGGGGTCCATCTATATTGTGGTGTATGCCTGCATTTTCTTCCCTTGTAAGGTGAAGTAAATTACACTAGATCAATGTATACTATGTCTTGTTAGTCCATTCACACACACACACTTGAGTTGCTTTCCCTTCTTGACTATTGTGAATAATACTACAGTGCAAACCTCTTTTGATACCTCGCCTTCACTTCTTTTGGATATATACCCAGAAGTGGGATTGCTGGGTTATGGGTTAGTTCTATTTTTAATTTTTTGAGGAACCTCTAACCTGTTTCCTAAAGCAGTCGCATTATTTTGCATTGCCAGCAATCATGGCAAGGGTTCGAATCCTCACATCCTTGCTAACACTTGTTATTTCTGGTTTCTTTTCCTCCTCCTGCTTTCCTGATCTCTTTTCGGTAGCCATCCTAGTGGGTGTGAGGCAGTGTTTCCTTGTGGTGTAGATTGGCATTTCTCTAATGGTCAGAGATGTCAAGCATCTTTTTATATGCTCATTTGTGTCTCATCTTTGCAGAAATGTCTATTTGAGTCTGTTACCCATTTTTAAATCAGGTTATTTGATTTCGGGGGATTTCCGAGTTTTTTATATATTCTAGATATTTGTCCCTTTGCAGATACATGCTCTTTAAATCTTTTCTCAAATTGTAGAGGTGGACTTTTCACTCTTTAATGGACACACATTTGTAAGTTTGATGTCATTCCTTTTATTTATGATTTTAGTGTCATATTGCATGTGTCTTATTGAAATATAATTCATATTCCATAAATTCAACTGTTCGTCTATAATTCAGTAGGTTTGTTAGTATGTTCCCAAAGTTGTGCAGTCATCATCCAGTTCTAGACTTTTTTCATCACCTCAAGTGGAAGCCCTGCACCCACTAAGTGATCACTTCCTATTTCCCCCTTCTCCAAGCTCCTGGCAACCACCAAATGTTTTCTGTCCTTATAAATGTGCTCATTCTGAATATTTCATAAAGCCTAAATCTGTACTAGCCAGAGTTTCCTAGAGAAACAGAGCCACTGGAAGATACATGTATATCCTGGTCTGTAGCAAACAACCCCAAAGCCAGAGGCACTAATGTCTGGGGGCAGAAGGTACAAAGTGTGATAAAAAAAATTACAGTGAACATTTAATTTTTAAAAATTATCATGGTAAAATACACATTGCTGTTACTCCTCAGAAGACTCCCCCTCTCTTTGAACACACTCACCCCATCATTCTCTCCACTTCTGAAGCCGTTCTGGAAACCCTCTTTCCCGACTGTCTTCCGTTGTGCTTTCACAGCTACCACCATGTCTTAGATTGATTCAAAATGTTGACCTTTTATGGTGGCCATTTTGACCTTGAGGAAGGGCCTAATGTTGCATGTGCCAGTGAACAGGTGGATGAGGACATGCTGTAATGTTTTTATGAGCCTGCCTTTCTGCTGGCTAACATTTGGCAGCCACATTCACCATATTCACCTTTAAAAATGAGGACATCCTAGCTCAGATTGGAAGTAAATTCTCTCTTCTTCCTTTTTGTTCTACCATCAGGCCTTTAATAGGGAGGTTGGGCCCCACCTGCACTGGGGAGGTTGCATTCTCATTCTCAGTCCACCAGTTCAAATACCACTCTCTTCTGGAAGCATGCTCAGAAACACACCCCACAAAATGTTTAGCAGCATCTGTTCATCCCTTAGTCCAGTCATGTTGACAGATGAAATTATGCAAATATGGCCTCCTCTCTGGCTTTTACTGAGTGCACTGCATTCCATGTTTGCCTGTATTTTGGTGTTTGTCAGTATTTCATTCCTTTTTATGTATAAGATCCCATTGTATGGGTTGGCAATGTTTTGTTTATGCATTCAGAGTGTATTGACAGGCATTTGAGTTTGCCTTTTGTGTGGTTCTTATAAGTACCTTTGCTGGGAACAACTGTGTACAGGTTTGTGCGGGTAGCTGACTTGTTATCTAGGGCACATACCTAGGAGTGAAATTCTGGGGCCTTGTGGTCACTCTTATTAGTGAAGCTCTGCTGCAGACTCACTTTTAGTGAGTGAGGGCCTCCAGCTGCTATGGGGAGCTGGAAATAGATGAGGCTTTTGGTTAGACATACCCAAATTTGGGCCTCGATTCTGCTATTCCCAGGCAACTGATTACACCCTTCTCCCCCCAGGACAGTTATGGTTTTGAGTTAGCAGAGGCCTCACAAACTATAAGTAGGTTTTTAAGGATTCAGTGCAGGGATTTAGCACCTTCATCTCATCGATACCCAGCACTACTCCTCATGTGGCTTCCTTTGCTTTCTTATCCATAGAGTCTGTGTTTGGTTGCCAGGGGCCAGAACCCAAGTAAGTGGGTCACCTTACAGTAGAGAATGCAGCCTCTGTTTCCCACTAAACTTTCCTGTGATTCTGTTCGCCGAGCTCAAGCTTGCCTGCCAGCTCATAATTCTCTAACCCAAAGGCAACCAACAGGCAGA